GGTGGAGGGAGCAGCAGGAGGGAGGCTGCCCCCTTCCTGACACGCGGCTTGGAAGAGCACGGCCACCTCCTACCGCCCTCGGGGCCGCCAGGTCTCCTGGGCTCTCCGGTGCTGTAGTCCGGGGTGCCCCTCCCCCACTCTCGTGCCCCCAGGCGGTGCAGGTCTCACTGACCTTCACTTGTCCTCCGGAGCTTGTCCTTGGCCATGTAGCCCAGCGCCAGGCAGCATCCCCTCCTCTGCAGGCCCAGCTCTGGAAGAGAAGCGGGCAGTGAGAAGGAGTGGTCAGGTCGGGGAGGCCCTCTGCGGGGGTCGCGGCGCCCGCCGCTCTTGTACACAGGGGCGTGACGTCTTCAACACGTCCCCTGAGACGCGCCTGGGAACCACACCTGCGTTCGCCTTTTTTGCACCAAAGTGAACTTGTACTTTAATTCCATTTTCTGAGCCAGTAGCTCCTTGACGGTTTTCACAGCCCCGTGAGCACCACGCACGACCGCCCGCGCTGCTCCCACTCGGTGGGCAGAGACCTTACATGACAGAGCCAGTGGGTGGAGGCCCCAGGGTTTCAAGCCTAGACCGTGCGGCCCCAGGCTCTGTCATTCCGGTTACTGAGGCAGGACACCCAGGCTTGCGACGGTGGCCAGAGAGGCCAGGAGACACAGGCCCTCACAGCAGTGTCCAGGAGGGAGTGGGCACCAGACTGGGGCCAGGATGGGAATGATGGGGGCTCTGGAGAAGACCTGGGGTGGGGGTATAGGCAGGAGGACGGCTCTGTCATCGGGGGATTGTCTGGGGCTGGGGTGTCTGTGCGAGTCTACATGGGGGTGCGATTCAGGACCCTTCTCAGCACGTAGGCAGACAAAGGGCCCGGGACCACGGCTGGGACCACGGCGTCCACGTAGGCAGACTCGGGGCCTGGGGCTGGGTGGCCGGGACCACAGCGTCCATGTAGGCAGACTTGGGGCCCGGGGCTGGGTGGCCGGGACCACAGCGTCCACGTAGGCAGACTCAGGGCCCGGAACCATGGCTGGGACCACAGCGTCCACGTAGGCAGACTCGGGGCCTGGGGCTGGGTGGCCGGGACCATGGCGTCCACGTAGGC